ACACATTACGCAATAAGACAGCATAACAGACATACATGTGTAAGTATGCACACATGAGTGTGATAAACATGTATATACATACATATATATATATATATATACACATGCTAGTGTGTATACACCTTTCAGGCATAATCATCATTCGGATGCCCTTTTGTCCTAGCATCTCGCCACCGTGCAGCGCGCTGGGATGCCGACGGCGCCGAACCCCGCCGCGAAGAAGGCGGCGGTTCGAGGAAGCTGTCGGCAGATTAGCACTTCCCCAACAGCTTGCAAGATCTTACAATGTGTTACAAGCCTTACAATATCCTCTCGATGACACTGTGTAGCATAACGAAGGTGATCTCCCGACACAATTCAAGCATCAGACCTGCGACCTCTTCAGCCCCGGAGTTGAAAGTGCTTTATGCATCTCGCGACGACAATCACAACGACAACCACCAAGAAAAATCACGTCAGAGAAGACGAAAACCACACCGGCAGCCAGCACCCCCAAGCAAGTACGGAGGACCAACGCGTCCTCATGTCTTCTAACCTGTCTAACTCACTGAAACCCCGTGAAAGGCGCCTGGCTGCGTGCATGCAGGTGGTTGGCCGCGACATTCGTGGTGGCCGGCTTCGGGTTGATCTTCACCTGGGGCCCAGGAGGAGAGAGACTCCGAAAGAAATCAGTCTGGAGTTGATGATGTCGATTGCTGTTGTGCGCTGTCCTTGATCTTGGCTTGGAAACTTTTCCGCACCAGCACTCTGCTTGCACTTTCAAGCTCGGAACACATGATCTCTGAAGACTTCGACACAATATCCTTGGACAAAAACTTGATACTGCTACGGGCTCAACCTAAAGTGCTCCCGAAATTGGGGGTTCGAGGTTGCATCTGATCCAACAGCTGTGTCCCTCCCAAGGAGCTCGGGTTGTTCTGATTTGCTTACACCCAAGAACCTTCAATCGCAAGTACGGCTCATGGAGGTGACACGTATCTGTGTTTCTGGTGTACTTGTTGCTCGTTGCGCATCCGGAGACGCTGCACGAAGGCAAGCTCGGCGGAGGAATGCTAAACTTAGCTCTCTGAGTTTTTGGTAGTTCGGACAACCCTAAACCCTAAACCCTAAGTTCGGACAGTTTGGAAGTAGAAGCACCTGTTACCTGGGCCTTGCGCTCAGAGACCCAGACTTGCGTCCCCAGCTGCAGGGTCGCTGTCCTATACTTGGAGGTTCATGGGTAGTTCTAAATGGGGTTATAAGTAGGGTAACTATACTTATAACTCATATTAGGGGACTTATAACCCCACTTATAACTACCCATGAACCTCCACGTAAGCTAAGCCGAGGGCTACGTAAGGGCCGACGTTGTCCCCGGCCTCCGATGCAGGAGCAAGGCGAAGTGGCTCGGGTAGCTTTAGGTTTAGGGGTTTTTAGGGTTTAGGGTTTAGGGTTTAGGGTTGAGGTTGAATGACAAGGTTTGTGCTGCTAATCTCAGTCATGAAATAATTGCAAGACTTTGTCTGTGAAAGGTCATCCTGGCGACATTGGCATAACACTGCAAGATATCAAGAAGGCACAGGAGGAGCTGTAGCAGCAGTGGAACTGGCAAGGATGGTGGTGGCAATGGAAGTAGTGGTGCTAGTGGCAGCGGCGGTGGTGGTCGTGGTGGTAGCAGCTGGTGGGAGAAGCAGTGGGAGCCGTAGCAGCAGCAACATGAGCAGCAGCAGCGGCAGCTGGGCGTAATTGGCAGCAGTGAGGCGGATTGATCACGCCCTGCCTCTATGAGCACTTTGTGGGTATCATCGCAGTACCTGAGCCATGCCATACTCCGAGCCCTGGGTCATCCTGGGTCCGAATTTGAGGTGAAGAAGCAGGCCGCCCATGGCAGGCAACACTGCAACAAATGCAAATTCACAAGCATTGAATCCAGGTCACGGAAATCGCTTCGACTAAACCCTAAACCCTAAACCCTAAGCCCTAAACCCTAAACCGTCAGGTCACGGAAATCGCTTCGACTGCCAGCAACGGCAAACTTTGATGTTTTTTGCCTGGGCCGCTTGGAAGGAGCGGACGGGGCTCCAAAGACTGTGGAGATGACACCAAGCAACCACTTGGGGGTTTTCCGAAAAATAGGGGAGCCCTAATATAGTACCCTGAATAATAGGATCCCAAATATAAGGACCCCAAAATAAGGTATCCCTAATTTTCTGAAACTCCCACTTCTCGCAAGAATCTGACTCAAAAACGGGCAAGTATTCGTATTCTCCATCTTGCTATGTTGCGCAGAGTATCAACGGTACATCATCTTCTGAGTCTAGTGCGTCAGTGCATGTCAACTCATTACCAGCTGAGGCAACTTCAGGGTTGCATGGATCCGACAGCGGAGGTCACCCAAAGTCCCAGCCCCAAAGGGTCTGCCACTCGGCTGCTAGGTTTAGGGTTTAGGGCTTAGGGCTTAGGGTTTAAGGCTTAGGGCCTAGGGCTTAGGGTTTTAGGGTTTAGGGTTCAGGGCTTGTCA